AGAGAGAGAGAGAGAGAGAGAGAGATATATAGTTGATTATCAGACGAAATAACATTTAACATTTCCAGTTTTTACATTAAATATGTTCGTGTTTATTTATTTTTTCATGCATTATATAAATTACTCTTTTCCCGGCGAGCAGCAAAGGAGCCGAACCGGAATTCCGTAGTCCGAGAGTTAAGCTGCTCTGGGATAAATGGCGTCATGTTTGGATGCTGGCATGGGAACGTCAACGTCGCCTGCAGGACAAATACAATTACATTCAAGAGTTGGATCGTGTCGCCAACTTTAGCTGGGAAGATTGGCGCAAACGGGTAAGAGTCGTAACATAGATTTATCTTGTCTTAAAAATTTTTAAATATTACTAGAGCATAATATTGTGGAACAGACATTAATTAACTATTTAATTTATGTAAAAACTTAAAACGTTTTCTTTACAATGATTAACTTTTTAACATCAGCTGATTAACATTCTAAATCATTTCTTTCTTCAAAATATAAAACTTCAGAGGAATATAGCACAATTTTTAATTTTACTTAAATATTTGTTCATTTTGATAATTATCACACATGCTGTTTATTTTCGAAATTACAGTTCCTGAAATTCATGAATCATAAGAAGTCCAGGCTGACCGATCTGTTCAGGAAGATGGATAAGAACAACGACGGACTTATTCCGAGGGAGGACTTCATTCAAGGAATTATGAACACCAGTATTTACCACCTCATTAATTCTTTCCTACACGATAGCATATTTACTGTAACTCTAACAATCTGATTCTGCAATTCATAGAATTCGAGACTTCTCGTCTGGAGATGGGCGCTGTCGCCGACCTCTTCGACCGTCACGGCGAGGGCTTGATAGACTGGAAAGAGTTTATCGCCGCCCTGCGACCCGACTGGGAGGAACGACGAACGTACAACGACACAGACAAGATCCACGACGAAGTGAAGCGGCTGGTCATGCTGTGCACCTGTCGCCAGAAGTTCCGCGTTTTCCAAGTTGGCGAAGGAAAGTACAGGGTATGTGCATATCGCGACAACTCGAGAAACAATTTGGCGCGTAGCTTTAATTAACTGCCATATGTTATCAATATTATCACATATTATTTCCATTACTGTGAAATTGCAGTTTGGTGACAGCCAGAAGCTGCGATTGGTTCGAATCCTACGCTCCACTGTCATGGTACGCGTAGGCGGAGGCTGGGTAGCGCTAGACGAATTCCTCTTGAAGAACGACCCGTGCCGCGGTAAGTCCACACTGCAAATTCTCAACCTGACATTTCTAGATGATCCGGGAATAGGCTGAGATAAATAAATCGTAACCGTGTACTTGTCTCTATCCACAATTTTCACTGTCAGTAAGGGGAACAAAAATAAGGAAATGATTAATGGGAAAGTCGTGTGATCGATCGTGCAACTTAGTTGCTGAACATGAAGCACGTTTGTGAGACAAATTGCTCCTTAATTGCAAGCGACTGAAGCAACTTTCGAAAGAAATTTTCTACAGTACTATCTCCTTCTCTCCGCCCTTTTCCCCCAAGAGGCAATTAAACTTGCATTCCTGTTTAATTTCGATACTTCTAATCATTGGAAATGACATACCTTTAAATATTTGTTATTGTTTAATAACAGCCATGCGTTAACGTTTTATTTTTGTTTCCATCGCTCTGATTTCATCTTAATCAACATTAATTTGCTTTGCTGCATTATGTGCGGAATAGTGGTACTTGCGTGACGAACTTATTAATGGAAATAATTCATTAACGGAAGTGTATTTGAACGTCGATTCGACATAACCGTTTCGTGTGCTGTTATATCCTAATACTAAATATGTTTCAATGTATTATATGTACGATTTCGACTCCTGAGGTGTCATAACATTGTCATTAATCAAATAGACGCAACTCAATATTAATCTAACATTTTAACGAACAATCGAGGGTAGTCCACACCCGCTGTTCAATCGCTTTCGCTTATCTAGTACAACCATTTTTCTGCCATACATATATTAATTTAATTCACTTGCTCTCGTATTACAGTTGATGAGTGAAAAGAAACTGAAACTTTTTACCATCGACGGTCTCTAATTTTTTTTCTACATTACATTTTATGTTTCGCACTATTCGCAATATGCATGAGGACGATTAATTTGACAATCACACATTGAATTGCGTGAGAAATGTTGTCGTTTACTCTAACTTTCTCTGTAAATTTTCTTTCATTCTGTCTTTTCCGTCCCTCCATCGATATTAAACTCCGAAAAATATCTACTTCGTGATAGTGTAATCATTAATGATCTATCAGAGAACCTTTTTGGTATGATTTCGTGGATAGTAGGGTAGAAGGTAATACTACAGTAGGCATATTTAACATCTTGTTGACTATATACTAACGTTAACATCATAACTGTCCTTTACCGTCCATCGTACCGATCCTCCTTACATCCCCGACTCTTCGACAAATATTTCTGTTTATTTCGTTTTTGTGTGTCTTTTTTTTCGTTTGTTTCTCGAATGTGTATTTCGCTGCGCGAACTCGCGACAAACATGCATGACTATATATCTCGCTCTCTCTCTTTCTCTCTCTCTTTCTCTAATCGGTTCTGCCTCTCGAATCGTGATTAACTCGTTAAGTTTTTCTAATGCCAATACCGGATCCTAACAAACCGGAACAACATGAGGGTTGGTGTCCGCTCGGTGAGAACTGTTTTACGTGCACACAATTTATTCATGGCCTATACGCTGAACCGAGTCTCACTCGCGAGATTATCGAGAGCCTTATTCGGAATTCCAGTCGCGCTGAATATTCGCCGATAGCCGAGACGCCCGGCGATAACTGTAGCAATTGTTGTAGTATAGGCCATGAAGGTGATATTCCTAAGTATGGAATGCATGACGTTGTTTCGCTTGTTCGGACTAATTTTCGAAGTGTTGTCTTTTTGTTGAGTATGTCTATATGCGTGCGTATGCGGTTGTATTATATGAAACGATTTGATATTGTCGATTACTGTCCGGACAAGGTAAATAGATTGCGCAGGTAAAATTAACGCTATAATTACTGCGTAATGTTAATTGTCCCGCCTCTTCGATGAAGTATCGAGCGTTAAAAAAAAAAAGAGTAGCCTGTGTTTAGGATGCAGATTTACGAATGTAGTATACTGCAATCGTTTCGCTTTCTTTCCCCCGTTTCGTACCGTTTTTCAGTTTCTTAGTTTTGGTGGATGGTTTACATTAACAGATCTATCCAGTAATTCCCACAATTATTTCCCGTGCGAACGTTCTATCCTGTTAATATTCAATGTGATTGTTTCATACATTTATTTGCAATGGTGAGTCTTGGCGTGTCCTTCGTAGCCCCGTTTCTCCGTAGAAATATCCTTGCTAGAAGACGACCAATGCATGTTTAGTGAATTTTAGTATGGTTTATGAAATTATTATCCAGAATAGAAAATGATTTTTGTACATACGAATTTATCCAACTTTTATTCCTGTTTAGTTTATAAAAATATATACCAACTAAAGTACATTGGTTTCTTTTGGCATGGTTACGAGTATAATTGCAAAAGTTTTTTTATTTATTTTTTTTATATGTAGAGTGTTTTGGAAAATTGTGCCTTTTGCCATCAAAAGTTATAATTAAAATTTTAAAATTAAAGAGAAAGAAAGAAGATTAAGGATAAAATTGTTAATAAATCATGAGCTTCTAATCAATTTAAAGATGGATGAAGTGAAATCTATTTTTCTTTTGCTTCTTAAACACTCTATATATTGTGTAAATCAATTGCTTGGGTACGTGAAATGTGCAATAATAAGCGACGTCAATTGTCATACTTGTCACATTTTTATCATGAAAGAAAAATTATCAAAAAATATGTAGAATAAATACGTCGCGAAACCGTACGTTTCACGCGAATACCTGAAGCACTGAATATCAGTACTGTTATTATCGTATTGTGAAATTGAATCAATGGCAGAATACTTATGACGGCTCCTGTATTATAAACCGTTCTGTGTAATAATTTATGGTAACGTGAAGCTTGTGTCGCGTAACTGTCTTAATTAGCTTGTATCTCAAATACTCGATTTTATTACATTAGAACTTTTTTTCGAACGTATATTCTAAATGCGCTGTCTTTTCTTTTTTTTTCCATGAACACACGACACACATGCGGGTGAAATACACACGCACTCATACATACATTTACTCGGAAACACGCACGCATACCGTGTTACGACCAACATTTTTTTTTCGCCTTTTCTTCTCTCTCTCTCTCTCTCTCTCTCTCTCTCTCTCTCTCT